AATCTTGTTTTGCCGAATGAACTTTTAATAAGTGTCAAATTCTTATTCGCGCATCAATGTAGTACTACCATCAAAGAATAAATTTTCGCAAAAATTTTTTTTTGTAAAAAATTTTCACATTTTCTCCGATTTTTTCCAAATTATTATAAATTAAAATATGGCAAATCAAAGAGCTGTTGTTAAATGTGTTCTTTCCGGCGATACGTTAATCCTTCGCGGAAAACCTATTGGTAACCAACCTCCTCTTGAAAAACAATTGAACTTGAGCTTTATTCAAGCTCCAAGGCTTGGAAATCAAAAAAAAGAGGATGAGGTAATTTAAATCATCGGATAAAATTTTGATTTGCTGAATGTATATAGATGTTTAAATCAGCGATATTTGGAGTTCAAACTTTAGATGAAATGAATGACTGAGATTTTTTTTCAAAAAAAAATTTCTGCGTGATTTTTTATAGCCTTTCGCCTTTGAAGCTCGTGAATATCTTCGTCCTATATTAGTTGGTAAAGAAGTTATATTTCGCGTGGAATATACTATTCCGAACAGCGGAAGAGAATATGGAACCGTATTTTTAGATTCTGAAAATGTTGCCCATATGGTAGTCAAAGAAGGATGGGCGAAACTTCGAGAGGATGGTAGAAAGAACAAAGAAGATGATAAGGATTTTGAAGTGTTTGCTGCTTTGGAATCTGCGGCGCAATCTGCCGGTAAAGGTGTCTGGGAGAATAAAGAGGTTCTTTATCAAATTAGCAAATGGGTTTAAATTACTTTTCCAACATTAACACAACTTTTCTTATCACATGATATTCAATTTGCAGTATTCGCGCGTTGTTAATTATACTTTGCAAGACGATGCCCGTGAATATTTGAATAGATATAAAGGATTGCCTGTTGAAGGTAAGAATTTATTTATGCTACGCAATCGTATCTCAATTGCTTATAGTAACTTTTTTTCAAATAGGTATTATTGAACATGTTCGGGATGGATCAAGTTTGCGCGTTTTATTCATGCCTCCTTCTCCTGCGCCACAACAATATTTAAGTGTAAACATTTCTGGAATAAAAGCTCCCACTGTTCGTAAAGATGTACCTGATGTCGAAGATTTGATTGAACCATTTGGCGAACAAGCTAAATATTATGTTGAGACTAGATTACTGCAAAAAAATGTTAAAGTTATACTGGAAGGTTTATCAATGAACAACCAGACCTTTTATGCTACGATTTTACATACCAATGGTAATATAGCGGAATTTTTATTATCGGCTGGATTAGCTAAAGTAGTTGATTGGAATATCACCGTAGTCACTGATGGACCTACTAAATTACGCGCAGCTGAAAAGTATGTTATATATTATTTTAGTCCATTTTCGTGTAATAATATTAATTAATTTTCTTTAAGAATTGCTAAAGAAAAGAAATTGCTACTTTGGAAAGATCACGTTGTGAGGAGCAGAGCTGGTGGAGAAGATCATGAATTCGAAGGCACAGTATGTAGAAATACATTGATGGGGAAGCTGTTTAAAAGAGTGATTAAAAAGGTCATTAAAATTATTTAGGTAACGCGTATAATTTCTGGTGATACTATTCAAGTAAGGCATAATCGAACTGGAGTAGAGAAGAAATTACAACTTTCGAGTATTCGTCAACCAAAGTACGTGAATTTTTTTTAATTTTCATTAATTATTACATTATTAATTACGGTATTTATTTTTATTTATAATAGGCCAAAAGATACAAAATTTCCAGAATATAATTTTGAATCAAGAGAATTTTTGCGGAAGAAATTAATCGGTAAAATTGTAAGTTAATTATATTTATAAATAATATTTTTTTAATGATCAAATAAGAAATATTTTTTTATTTACATTTCATGTATTATAGGTTAAAGTTACTATCGACTATAATAAACCAGCGACAGAAGGGTATGAAGCAAGAGAATGCGCGACCATTAAACTTGGAGAATGGTAAATATTAAAATGATGTTTCTTTGATAATATCGATCTTTATAACGAAAGAGTAAAAAAAAATATTTTTTCATTTTACTTAGGAATGCAGCAGAGGCATTACTCGAACGTGGTTTAGCTCACATTATACGCCATAAAAAGGACGATGAAGATCGATCCAGTTTTTATGACCAACTTTTGATTGCAGAGCAAAAGTAATAATTTATGTATTTAATGTTATTTTCTTTTGATATGATATTATGTCAAACACAAATTCAATATTTCAGAGCACAAACCAATACCAAGGGTGTACATAGCCCCAAGGATCCTCCAGTTTACAGAATTAGTGATGCTTCTGAGGTTTGTCATTTGTGTTATGTAACTTTTTCTAAAAAATTTAAAATTGAGTATAATTAAATTATATATATTTGTAGACTCCATCAAAAGCTAAACAATTTTTACAAACATTGAAAAGAGCTGGCCGAGTTCCTGGTGTAGTGGATTATGTAGCAAATGCATCAAGATTTAAAATTTATATTCCAAAGGAAGGTTACAAGCTGACATTTGTGCTTGGAGGAATACGTGCACCAAAACTTGGGCGCAATCCATCAGATAAATCTGATCCATTTGCTCTTGAAGCATCGGAATTTGCTACTCATAAAGCGTTTCAAAGGGATGTAGATATTGAAGTTGAAAATGTTGATAAAACTGGAGGATTTATCGGAACGATGTGGATTAAAAATGAAAATTTTGCTGAAATGTTATTGCAAGAAGGATTTGCCACCATTCATGAATATAGTGCAAGTCAGAGTCCTTACTCACAACAATTATATACCGCTGAGAGAAATGCCAAAGATGCAAAGAAAAATGTAAGTAATCACTATAGATTATCTTACAAATTTATTTGTTTTATTACCTCATTTAAATTCGCTCTTTGCGTTAGATATGGTCGATACAAGATACTGAATCCTTTAGAGAACAAGAAACCACTACAGAAGTGGAACCACGTAAAGAATACGTAGACATTATTATATCAGAAATTATTTCAGGAGGAAGATTTTACGTTCAAATTATTAATGATGACATTCATAAATTAGAGAAAATGATGTCGGAATTTTCTTTATATCATAAAAATGACGCAAGTTCGGCAATATTTTCTCCAAAAAACCATGATATGGTTAGTGCTCAATTTACTGGAGATGACCAATGGTACATATAAAGAATATTGATTTTCATTATTTTTGCTAAAATTTTTTTATTAACCATCTTTTTTTGGTTATAGGTACCGTGCGAAAATAAGAAGAGTCATTCCGGAATCAAAAAGTGTCGAAGTAATTTATATTGATTACGGAAATGTAAGTGATTTCTGGTTTAATATTAAATATTTTGATAGGATTATGATAAATTTATTAAATTAACTTTTTAATGAAATTTATATAGTCTGAAGTAATTCCATTAACTCGAGTTCGTCAGCTTCCCGATAAGTTTAAACAATTACCCTTTCAATCTAAGGAAGCCTTGCTTTCATTTTTGAAAGTTCGTAATAGAGAGGTAAATTAATTTACACGGATTTTTTTATAATGAAAATATAATTTATTATTAATTGCTGTTTCTTTATTATAGGATGATTACGGAGAAGAAGCGCGTGAGCAATTTAAAGATATAGTTGGAGATAGTAAACTCGTAGCCAACATTGATTATAAAGACAACAATTTGCTTCACCTTACACTTTATAATCCAAAAGAATCTCAATCTACAGAAGCTTCGATTAATATAGAAATGATTAAAGCCGGATACGCAACAGTTGATAAACAATCTATATTATATAAAAGCAATCCTGCAGTTTTGGCGAAATTGCTTGAAGCCCAAGAACAAGCTAAAAAAGATAGAGTAAGTTGTAATATATTTATAATCAACAAAATCTCGTTATTTGATTTAATTTATTTTTTTATTTATTAGATGGGAATGTTTGAGTATGGTGACATTACTGCTGATGACGAATGATAGAATAGATGAGTTACATATATTGTTTGTGAATCAAGTCTCATTAATTTATTTTGTCATTATTTAAAAGAAAAAATATTTTGATTCAAATTTAACATTGGTGTAAATAAAAAAATAAGTTGATATAAAAGTAGATTTAATATTTTTAATACTTAGGTTACACATACTAAGCATAATGAGAAGTATAGAATTAATATTAGAATTAGTATAGTTGTATATTTAGTACATTATAATAATTAATAAAAAATTAGTACAAATATAATGTTGAGTCCATCGATCCGCAGTTTGATTAACTAACCAGAATAAATTTCACCCACGTAATTTAGGCTTTCATAAAATTAACGGCATCCTTAAAATGTACCTGATATCTATATAAATATTTTTTTTAAAAAATAAGTATCACGTGATAAATACTGTTGCGGAACAGGTTGAGTCTATATTCTAAAATTAATTGGAGATCAGCTTGCCGATCGAGTTGCAAATTCACGTGTATAAATTTTACTGCGCGATGTACAACTAAGATCCCAATATTCTGCGGCGGCATAATATGCGCAGAAATTAAGATTTTCGCAATGAGATTTAATTGAAATTCGCATTTTTCACTTATCATATAGCATATCTGCAGTTAAGATCTATAGATTAAGATATGCTCGTGGTGAATTTATTATGGTTTGGAAGAGGAGTTTAAAGATGGTGTAAATATCTATTGGAAAAACATTAAAAGCTTACCAAATTTATCATGGCTTCCGGTATCTGGGATAGATGTGGAACGAAGTTTTTCAGCATATACCAATAATCTTAGCATGCTCCTTCAGAAAATTCTCTTGTATTCTAATAATCAAATAGTATACTATATTTTAAATAATGAAATTGTCGCATTTCTTTAGCATTTTTCTGAACATTTATAAAAATTATCGCATATACTTGCATATCTTACTATATAAAGCAGGTATAATTTGAGTTTAGCGCCGCATATTTTAAGTCACCCTAATCTGATCATATAAACCAAGATCAGATCACTTTCGCAAAAAAAAAAATCTCTTTCTTAAACAAAATGAGTCTCAAGCTTAAAAATTATGTTATCTGGTATCAGTACAAAACTCGTTCCGCAAATACGGTCAGAGAACTTCCAGGAAAGGAACTTATTGATCTTTGCAAAGCAATTATAACAAATTCAAAGCTTTCTGAACCTGCTGATACACTTATTCTCAAAGTGAAGCTAGAAGGTGAAACCGAATATAATACTACCTTAAACTGTGATTATTTTGAAGAACACTGTAATGGTGACTTTAAAAGATTAGTTGAAATGCACAAGATCAAACGACTAAACCCCATCAGTGTGACAACTATGGGTATGTCTTTATCTTTCCATTTTGATGCTTCTTGATTCATTAACACATAGCTTTACTCATTTATTGAGTTTCTAAATTTCGTTAATGACCACACCAGAAAATGAGAGATTGAGGGATGAGCTAGCCACTCAAGTAAATCCCATCAATGTGACATCTCAGGGTATGTCTTTATCCTTCCATTTTTGTTTATTGCTTATGCTTCTTGTGTCTCATTGTAGAATAGAAACACAACAAATACATCGCTTTACTCATTTATTGAGTTTCTAAATTTCGTTATTGACCACATCAGATAATCAAGAGATGCAGAGATTGAGGGATGAGCTAGCCGCTTTGAAGATAACTCAAGGTATATCTCAATTTATTTTGCTTTAATTTATGTACTTTACTACTCTTTGCCTAATGTATGAGTTTTGCTTGTCAAATGTATGGTTCACATCTAAATGCATCTTTTGACTTAATCAGGTAATTATTTATAAACATTCATGTGTTTAAATGTATTGCTTACATTCTTTTGTTCACTTTTATTCTCTATTTAACTGTAACATAGCTCAAGCACTTTCTAAAGAAATACATGTCCGTTATAATGATCAAGCCATCACTTTCAGACGAAGTATGTTAGAAGAAATTGGTACATCTAATGTAGAAGATTTGATAGAACTTATTAGGCCAAAGTTGAGAAAGTTTATTGAAAAAGTATCAGATATAGTCATCACTCTTCGCCCTGGGAATAATGAAGTCTTGGGTTCGGAAACGCCTATCACTGAATTATACAATACGGAAGATCAAGCATTGCGTGTTGTAGTCGGTAAGCATAATATAATGATATTTGTTACTGGTGCTCTTGCTAACATATTTATTTCTTAATTTTGAAAATGTGCAAAGCGGATGATTCTACTATAAACTTAACGGTGAAAATATCTAAAAATAA